TCTCAAAACCGGTTCGATTTTTAAGCTTCCAGAAATCCGGTTAACCTGAGAACCGAATTACGGACCCGGCTCAGATCTCGTCCTTTAAGAGTTCTTCCGTTACCTGTACAAACGGAAAACGCCATTTGACCTCCTTCCATTCTCCGACCAATTATCAGATGCGGCGGAATCATTTTCCCATCGGAATATTCCTCTTCCTCATCGTCCGACGAGTATCTCCGTCTCATAGGTATATTCACCGGTAGCGAACTCGAAAACGCAGACGGCGAAGAAGGCAACGGCGTCGTTTTATTATTACTCCGTCTCGAGCTTTTGTTTCTCGTCATTGCGTCGGAGTTTTCTCGGAAATCAACCGGACGATTCTCTTTCTCGTCGGAGATTTCTCTCCGGCGAATCGGAAAGAAGTTCTCAGAGAAAATAATCTCAGATTCATCGAATTCTTGCGACATTTCAAGAAACCAGAAGGGTTTTATGAAAATTAGATTTTTGAGATTAGGGTTTTATGGAGGCTTAGAATTTAGGATTAGAGAGAACAGTAAGAGAGAAAAGAGAGAAATGAAGAAAGGGTTTATATAGAAGAAAGGAAACGTAGAGAGTACTCAAGTTTTGTGTGTCTTATGTGATTGATGATGTCACCATAATGGCGTTGCGTGCGGGACCCGATTTACTTTCCATATCTATATACTATATGTATATGTTTTTGACACTTCAATTAGAAAATTATTTCGTAGTATTATTTAAAATTGTTTCTTTTTTTTTTTTTAAATTGAGACTTCAAAATAGAATTTTATCTTATCTTATGTGTATGTGTATAAATACTACTATAATTTTAGATCGGGGATTCTTATTGGATTGGTTTTTCAAGTAGTATTATATTGGCCAATCTTATCCATACGATGTTGAATCGAGAGTCTTATTGGATCATTGTTTTTGTTGATCTTGATTTAATATGTTTTAAAATGATTATCAAATAGTATTGTCTTATTTCTGGAAGAAACTATATCAAAGTTCTTTACTACTCACACTATTTATAAATTTCACTTTCATCACGGTATTAAAAATAAAAAATATATCAATTGATTAATAATTTATATTTTTAAAATTTTTAAATAAATATATATTTAATTTGTAGTATATTTTTTTTAGAACCAATGGGTAATTTGAATTTTTACCATCTGATTAATTTTTTTTCAAAGTGAGTGTAATCGTCGAGTAACCTATTCACCAGATTTTCTGATAATTTATATAGTACATTGTATGTATATGTTTCAGCAATTGTTTATTAATAAATGGTAAAATGAAATTCCATTTTCCAGAAAGTATATTCTTGCATAAGATTGGGATTTTTCCATGTCGTTTCCCCAAAAATTCATCAAGTCAAAGTGAAACATTTTTTATATTCCCAATATTTTGCTCATACTTATTAAATTACCAGATAAATCATTTTCGTCGAGATTTCTTATTTCTTGTTGAATGAATCAATACATCGACGACACACAAATGCTAATTCAGCTAACACTTATAAATTAAAAGAATAATATCCATTCTTATAAGAAATTTCGATATCAAGACTGATTCAATTTCGAACAATCTAGTCGGCTCAAATACACAGAAAAAGCAGG